ACTTATTATCTTGTAAACAATTGACAAATCAAATAAAATAAATAAATAAATAAATAAATAAATAAATAAATAAATAAATAAATAAATAAATAAATAAATAAATAAAATAAGCATTAGTACCTCTTCATAAAGCCTTAGTAAGGCCACAACCTGGAATGCTGCATCCAGTTTTGGTCACCGTAATACAAAAACAATGTTGAGACTCTGGAAAAAGTGCACCGAAGAGCCACTAAGACGATTAAAGGCCTGGAGACTAAAACACAGGAAGAATGGTTGCAAGATTTGGGTATGGCCGGTCTAGAGGAAAGAAATACTAGGGGTGACATGATAGCAGTATTCCAATATTTGAGGGGCTGCCACAAAAAAGAGGGGGGTCAAATTATTTACCAAACCACCAAAAGGCAAGACAAGAAAAAAATGGGTGGAAACTAATCCAGGAGAGAAGCAACCTGGAATTAAGGAGAAATTTTCTAACAGCGAGAACCATTAACCAGTGGAACTCCTTGCCTCCAGAGGTTGTGGCTGCTCCATCACTGGAGGTTTTTAAGAAGAGACTGGACAGCCCCTTGTCTAGAATAGTATAGGGTTTCCTGCTTGAGCAGGGGGTTGGACTTCACAGGTCCCTTCTAGGTCTATCCTGAATTTGACATGTATCGTGTTGCTTGACCTTCAAGCAGGTGGCCTCTCCCACAATGCTACTGGCATTTTTACTCCCCCGAGTATAATTCAGAGCCTGTTTTGAAAGAAAAGATTGGAGGAGTTAGTGAAGCATTTCCGAAGTTTTGTCTCCATCTCTTTTAATGAATGCTTTTGCAGTGGAAAAAATGTCCTAGTGGGTGAAGAGGAGCCAAGCCGCTTCGCACTAATTATGTCATCCGTGTGGACAATGCAAGGTGTGACCATAGGATAAGCAGGCTTCCAAGGCTGAGGGCTTAGAATGGCTTCGCAATTACAACTTAACAGGGGAAACAGGATCTCATTACCAAGTATCACATCTCATGTTCCCCAGGAGTGAGATGGGAACAGATGGTGAGGCTGCTTTGGAAAGTCTGAAGGATTCCTTCCTTCCTCTATTCCTCCCTCCCTCCCTTCCTCCCTCAGTTCCCTTAATTTCTTCTCTCCTTTCTTTTCTCTCCTTCCTTCCTGCCTCCTCCCTTAATTTCTTCTCTCCTTCCTCCTTCCTCCTTCCTTCCTTCCTTCCTTCCTTCCTTCCTTCCTTCCTTCCTTCCTCCATTCCTCCCTCCCTCCTCCTTTAATTTCTTCTTTCCTTCCTTCTCTCTCCTTCCTCCCTCTCTCCAGTCTTCCCTCCCTCCTCCCTTAATTTCTTCTCTCCTCCCTCCCTCCCTCATCTCTTTGTTTCTTCGCTCTATTTTTCCTTCCTCTCTCCCCATCTCCCCACCTCCCTTCATTTCTTTCTTCCCTCTCTTCTTCCCTTCATCCCTCCCTTTTTTTCTGGATCAAATCTGCATCTGGATAAAATCAAAACCTAGATCAAATCCAGATCTGAATTAAATAAAAATCCGGATTAAAGACGTAGTGGGCCTTTGGTTTGTAAGACACTATTTTCATACATGCTGGCCTGCCTGCCTGCATATGCACGATAAAGGATCAGGAAGTCTTCCTTCCTCCCTCTCTTCCTCCCCTCCCTTAATTTCTTCTCTCCTTTCTCCCCCCTTCCTCTTCCCTTCTTTCCTCCCTCCCTCCTTCCCTCCCTCCCATCTGGATTTATTCCCCCCTCTTCTTCTCTCCTATGCTGTTTTGCAGGGGCTTTTTTCTCTATTATCCTTTGTTTTTTTAACCTTTTAACACTTGCAAATCACGGACTTCCGGTTTGCAAGCTTTCGGCGGCGGCAGGGATTCGCGACACTGCGCGATCCCTGCTGCGTTCGCCGCCAAGGTTCCCCCGATCCGTTTGGATCTGGAGGATATAGCTGCCCCGTAGAGGCAGCTGAAGACAGGGGGATCCGGAAAGGGGTTTGGGGGTGTCGCAGACCCCCTCCCCAGCCGGCTAAACCCCCTTTTCCCGAGGCGGAGGAACGGCGGTCAGCAATGGCCGCCACGAAGAAATCTGCAGCCGGACAAGCAGGTGCAGGAGGGAGGAAGTCGGAATAGTGAAAGTTGCTTCTAACCGGGACAAGACAAGAGAAAGTGACCTGGAAACACTTGCAAATCACCTAGATATCGCTGGGACAGGTAGTGCAGGAGATGATCAGACTGAGCCTGAGGTCAAGCACATCATCAGTCTCAATTCTCTTTGTGCCCACGAGAGAGCTAAGTCCAGCCCATTGTGAATTCCTTATGTACCACCAATTTGCTTTGACCGTTAGTAGTTCAGATTCTTGCAGAGAGCTTAAGCTTGCAATAAAATCTTTATAATTTAAACTGCCAGGACTCCTGATTTCTGGCTCTTGATAAGTAGTCCTCAACCTACAACTACAGTTGGAATCGGAATCTCCATCATAAGCAAGACATGATCAGACCTGATTTGTGACCATCTTAACTGCGTCATTAAGTGAATCGTGCGATTGTGAACTAAATGTAGCTTCTCCAATTGACTTTGCTTGTCGAAAGCTGGCTGGGATGGCCGCAAATTCTGACCATAAAATTGCTACTGCCATAAATGTAAGTGTAAATGTAAGTCAAACACTGTCATGCCCTTGTTGGAGTCTGATTCTGAGGGAGAGATTGAGCAGCTGACAGGGAGTGGGAGTGTGGAGACAGGTGGTGGCTGTGGAGGGAAGGGCACAGTCCGGCTGGGCACTCAGAGGAAGACTCACGGCCGCCCCCTCTTCATCCTAGGGCACGCAGGGAGGAATGGAGAAAGGAGCAATGTGGCTTATGGGAGAGAAAAGGGCCCTGATCCCTTTCATTATGTGCAGCTGGGAGAACAGGATATAAGAAGGGCGTTTGCACACAGCACCTTGCTGGAAGCAAAGCGTGCATTATCTTTGTCGAGGCTTATCTGGGTTTTGGCGTTCTCCCAACTGGGTGTGCTTAGTTATCTTTTGGAAGTGTGCAATTTATTATCCTGGCCTGTCGTGTTAATTACTTCAGCGTGTTGGTTTTTTTTATTTCTAATTTCTCTGTACTTTGGGTTCTTCCCTTTGTAGACTGTTTTTGGAAGAGTTTGATCTCCAGCCGAGGATAACTGGACATTGGGGGCCAAGTTGGAGGTATTAAAGGGAATTTATGTACTTTTGTGATTTTGTTATTTTTGTGCCACGTCCCGGGTCATCACAAAGACTACCTGTATATAAATGGAAGACATTATTATTATTATTATTATTATTATTATTATTATTATTATTATTAT